GAAGATAAGAGGAAAATAAACTGGAAGCTACCAGTTCTGATGACTAGCAACAGGAAAACAGGACCATAAAGCATTTCCATGGGGTGGCTTTGCCCCCTATGGGGAATCTTTGCTTTTCACGAGTTATCTGTGCCCTCCATGGGGTATTTCTGCCCTTCATGAAGCATCTCTGACCCCAGAAAGTATCTCCTCCATCCCAGCCCCACAGCGGGGTGTCTCCATTCCCCCATATGTTTTGGGGCTCCCTTTCTGTCACTTCTGTGCTAAAGTCTGTCCTGGCAGCCAAGCACCACTGAGGAGCTGCTTTGGGCTGAGAACCCTGTGGAAAGAGAACTGAAACCTCCTGTGCAGCCCTTACCTCGTCCACACCAGGCCCCATCATGCAGTTTTGCAGGGAGGCAGCTGCTCTGGAATGAAACAAGAGGTTGTGACAAACCCGCCTTGTTCTGTAGCAAGCGCAGGTGCAAGAGGCTCTCCCCTGTCCCGCTCTGACTCCTTGTCACCAGCACCAGGCCAGTGAGCTCCGTGAGACGTTACAGGGCGCTGAAATAGGTCTGTGGTGTGATCTGGGTTGGGAGAGGCAGCTGACACATCCGTGGCTGTTTCTTGTTTCTCCAGAGCTGCAGAGTGGCAGCTGGCCCAGCCGGCGTGAAGCGGGAGGCTGTGTGTCACGGCCAAGGGCAAGACAGCCTTCATCAAGCTGGAGGACAAGACCTCAGGTGAGGAGGGAGGTGATGGCTCAATTCTCCTTTTGGACGAGGAAGATGGTGCTATGGCCTGGCATTGTCCTGCTTCCATTTCTCTTTTCCAGGAGAGCTTTTTGCCTAGGTGCTGGGGGAGCAGTTCCCTGGCATTGCTGTGGAAAGTGTGACAGACTCCAGCAGATACTTCATTATCCGGATTGAAGATGCAAATGGTACATTGTGATACGCCAGGGAGTCACCTCGGGAAGTCTTCAGAGCCCTCACTGCTGTTGTTTGTGAAGGATTCCTGTGTTCGGGGGCTCAATATTCCCTGCATAGGGCAGTAAAGGGAGGAATTATCTCGTTCCTATGCACCAGCTGCACTCTGACCTTCAACAGGAACAACACCACATTGATTTTGTGGCTAAGGTTGGGTGTGAGGACACAGGATTATCACCCCGAGGACAACTCTACTTTATATTCATTTAAAAGCTGTTTTACTAAGGTTGTATGTGCACCCAACAAGCTAGAGATACCTGGAAATGTCTTTGGAGAAGGGAAGGCCTCAGAGTGATCTAATTGCTGCCTTCCAGTGGCTAAAGGGGCTCCAAGAGAGCTGGAGAGGGACTGGGGACAAGGGTCTGGAGTGACAGGACAGGGAGGAATGGCTTCCCACTGCCAGAGGGCAGGGCTAGATGGCATATTGTGAGGGTGCTGACGCACTGACACAAGTTGCCCAGAGAAGCTGTGGCTGCCCCATCCCTGGAAGTGTTCCAGGCCGGGTTGGGTGGGGCTTGGAGCAGCCTAGGCTAGTGGAAAGTGTTCCTGCCCATGGCAGGGGTGGAACAGGATAAGCTCTAAGGTCCTTCCAGCACAAACCACCCTGAAATTCTATGATCCTATGATCTCCAGTCCCATGTCTCAGTCTCTGGAGTCCCAGCTCCTGCTGGAGGTGGCAGCAGGCACGAGGGTGTGTGGGTTGGGGTATCCCATCTCTCTTCCTCTACAGCTTTGCCTTCCAGCCCTGACTCCTCCTCGCTCCCCAGGCCTCCGGGTGTTCATCAGAGTCAGATTTGGGGACTGAAGAGATACTTTTGACTTCAACATGGCTCTCCAGGACAATTTTAAGTGAGTTTGTGCCTTTTCCTCTGTCCTCTCAGCTCAGTTTTTTGGCAGATGTCCACCAGAAATGGTGGAGAAGAGGAAGCTGTAGGCTGCTTTTGTGCTGGAGCAGGCAGGAGTAGTGTGGAGAGGTGGAAATATCTCTTGCTCTGCTCAGGCAGCTCTTCCTCTCTCTTTCCTAATCTGTATTAGCAGGGTCCCAAACCGGGCTTTCCAGTCCAAAATTGGACAAATTCCCTAATTTATTTGCTATACTTCACATGCCACCAGTAGGGTCTGAGGGACTGGGGTACTACTCCAGCTGCTGGGAATAGTGGGTTTTGGGGAGGGGTGGATGTGCTGCTGTCTGGAGGATCCATGTGGCTCGGACAGCTGATGGGAATCATTCCCTCATTGCTGTCTCGTTGCTCCATAGGTGATGTCTCAGATCATCTCCATTGCCTCAAAGAGCTGCTGCCAGGCAGAGGGGATGATCTGGAGCAGGATTTGTCCAGGAGAGCCTGGGGCTGGTTGGTGACTCTCCTTTTCCGTGTGTTTCATTCCTGCAGGTTGGTGAGGCAGCAGAGCGAGCTGGGTCAGCAGGCCCAGAACCCAGATCAGGGACCCAAACTGGATCTAGGCTTCAAGGAGGGACAAACCATCAAACTCAACATCTGTGTGAGGGGCTCTTTCAACACCTTTCCTTGGGGTGGCACAAGAAAGCAGCAGCTCCTCCCCAAAATCCCTATGCATAGGGAAGCCTGGAGCAGAGCTGGTCGGGACGAGACTGTGTGGAGGGATTTGCAGGGGGTTGTGTTACAATTCCTGGTTCCATAATGAGGTCTATGGGTTTGTGGGGGCATTTTTGGGTTAAAAACATCCTTTTGGTGACCCTTCACTGCACTGGCAGTGGGATATCACAGCACTGTTGGGATTTTTTCCCAAAATAAGGCAGTTTGGCTTTGTGGGATCCATGGCCATGAGGATTCACACTCCAGCTCTGGACTTAAATGTGGTCTCACCCAAATTTTCCTCTGTTCTTTCAGAATGTGAAATAAAAACGAGCAACAGGGAACACCAGACCACATCCTGCAGGGCCTGGGGGCCTAAGCTTGCTCCCACCACCTCCCAGGGGAAAATCCACCTCTGGAATGTATTCATCTTCGCTCTCCACCCCTGCCCAGCTCCCAGGAACACCTGTCACAGGTCTCTGGTCGTGCAGCAACCACTGTAAAGCTCTCTAGACTCTTGGTTTGTCCATAAAAGTTGGGAAAAAAGGGGGAATCTGGGAATAAATCAGAATAACTCCTGGTATTTGTTTCTCTCTTCCTGACACTCCCAACAGACTCCCTGCTGTTCTGGCCTTAGCCTGGAGCCGCTCCTGCCTCCGATGTCTGGGGAGACTTTGCCAAAGCTTTGGGGTGAGCCCATGAGGGACTGCAGGGACATGGGTGCTCCAAATCCAACTTGTTTTGCTGGAAAACCCCACTGGAGTGGGGGCACTGCTCCACCCAACCCCAACTTTGGGATTCCAGAGTGGCTCTGACTGTGTTGCAAATTTCCTGAGTTCAGGTCTGTGGACACTTCTTCCTCAGCTGCTCTGGGAGAGTTTTTGGCTGATCCTAGAGGACCCATTTGCTGCCCAAGTCCCTCCCTGGATGCCCTTTCCATGTATAAACTCCCTTTTTTTCCTCTCATTTTCTTTCTCTCCAGGTCAGCTTCTAGCCAGACTCAGGGGAACACAGTCTGGGTTCAGTTCTGACCCTGCCTTCATCTGCTTTTCCCCATGTGAATGCTAGGATTGTTATGATTCCTTTGGGATCAAAGAAACAGCTTCAGAATACTCTGTTCCCGCTTTAAATCCTGCCTGGCATCAAAATGCTGGAGTAAGTGCTGGAAAGGAGCCACCGTATGCCTTAAAACACTCCATACACCTGTGCCTACTGCATCTGGGGTCTGTTGCTGTTCCGGATCATGGGAGACCTTGGAGGCTTCTCTTTCGGAAAACACCATCAAGTTCATCACCTCTCCTTGATAACAAGAGGGCAAGCAAGTGCTTGGAGTGTCCTCAGAGACTCCTTTTGCTTTCTTTGTGTTTTGGGGCTGGATAAATCCTTCCCTCAGTGAGGAACATCTTCCTGGAGACATCCCACCTCCCAATGCCCTGCCAAGATGGCAAATATCACCTTTTTTTCTGAGCACTTAACTGGGTTGTGGGGAGCTCGACTGTGGCATTTCCATGCTGGAGTTCCTCACATATTACTCTGGGAAGTTTGTTTTATTCCTCTTTGAAGACAAGATTTTTTTATGTCTTTTGTGGACATTTTATTAAATGTTGGTCTCTTGAGGCCGAGATTCCTCTTTAAACAAATATTTTCTTTACCTATTTATACTAAGCCCTTTCAGTGTACAAAATTCCACTTATTTTTATTCAATCCCTTGGATTTTAGTTTTCATTTTCGAATGGATGACAAGCACTTTGTGTTCAGAGCTTTTCCCTGGGTCTGGCAACAAACCCAGGTGGGAACTTTCTGTCCTGGATCCTCTTGTGTGGGAGCAATGCTTGAATGTATTCAGTATTGGAGGTGGGATGGGGCATAACTCTTGGGACTAGACTCAGCTGGAGGTGTTGACACTTTGACTTGGTACCAGCACAGAGCCACCACAAGAAAAGAGATGGCAGAGTCTCCAAGCAATCCATTCAGCACCCTTTGCACTCTCCTAAAGATGGATCTTCACCCACAACCACTGAGACTGAGAAAGGCAAAGCAGAAGAGCATAAGTAGGTCTCTATGCCATCACAGGGGAAAGACACAGGAAAAACAGGAAAGGGGACTTTCCACTATCATGGAGTATAATTACAACAGCTGAACAGCTCTTCCTGCTGCCACACATATCTTGGGGGAAGAGACATAACACCCCTGGCTGCTTTGCCAGCAGTTCACACACATGCTCTGGAAAAGGGAAGATGGGAGATTCTGCAGTCACAACCCTTCAAAAAGCTTGTGCCCTTCCCCAAAGGCAGGTGATGTGGGGATTGCAGATGGCAGTAAGAGGGATGACTCCTAATCTAGGGATGCGCACAGGGAGGCAGATGGGGCAAAGATCACTCACTGTCTTCGTATAGGGATGGGGAAGTGCCAAGAAGAGGCAGTGCTTCACCCAGGGAAGGCATGCGAGCCCACAAAAACAGGGCCCAGCCCAGCCACGAAAGCCTCAACCCACAATGTCTTTCAGAGCTCCAGCCAGGTCAGGGAAGATGAAGTGGTAGCCGCTCTCCAGGGTGCGTTTCGGCACCACCCTCTGTCCCTGCAGCAGCATGGCAGCCCGTTCTGCCCCCAGGACAGCCTGCACAGCCCAGGCAGGCATCGGCAGCAGTGCTGGGCGCCCCAGGGCTGCCGCGAGCTCCTGAGCAAAGGCACTGTTGGAGGTGGCAGGGGAGGAAGGGGCAACACCGTTGAGGACACCCTGCACGTTCTCACTCTCCAAGGCATGGCACATGATCCCAGCCAAGTCCCGGATATGGATCCATGGGAAGGGCTGGAGCCCAGAGCCCAAAGGGCCTCCAAGTCCCAGACGGAAAGGCCAAAGCATGTGAGAGATTGCACCACCACCTCGACCCAGCACCACACCTGTGGGGAGAAGAGAATGAGACCAGCCTCCCCCACCCAAAGGACAAAAGCCTTCACACGCAGACCTACAACCAGGAAATAATCCTCAGAGGGCTGAACTGGAACAGGACCTCAGCAAGGAGAAAGTAAAGAACTGATGTTCTCCCTCTCTTCCCTCTTGCCCCAGCACCAAAGCAGAGCCACCCTGGACAGACATGATGCCCCATCTCACCTGATCTCACCACAACAGCACGAGCTGGGCTCCCAGGGATAAGAGCTGCAGCTTCCCAGGAGCTCACCAGGCGTGAGAAGAAGTCAAAATCCCCCCCAGGACTCTCTTCAGTGTACTCAGCAGTGAGGCTGGCGTGGTAATAGCCTGAGAGTGAACAGCAGGAAAGGGGTCAGGGTTGAATGATGACACCAACCCTCCACTTCCCTGTCAGACCCTCTTCCCCACCTCTAGGAGCTCAGAACTCCTATGAGGAAAGGCTGAGAGAATTAGGATTGCTCAGCCTGGAGAAGTGAAGGCTTCAGGGTGACCTAATTGCAGCCTTCCAGCACCTGAAGGGAACCTGCAAGAAAGCTGGAGAGAGACTACTTACAAGGGCCTGAAGTGACAGGACAAGGGGGAATGGCTTCCCAGTGTCAGAGAGTAGGTATAGACTAGACACAAAGAAGAAATTCTTCCCTGTGAGGGTGGTGAGGCCCTGGCACAGGTTGCCCAGAGAAGCTGTGGCTGCCCCATCCCACGAAGGGTTCTAGGGCAGGATGGACAGGGCTTGGAGCAACTTGATCTAGTGGAAGGTGTCCCTGCCTATGGCAGGGGGTGGAATAAGACGATTTTTTTAAAGTCCCTTCCGACTCAAACCAGTATGTGATCCTATGAACTCTATCACTCCACCAGAGACACCCTCATATGAACAGCACAGGGTCTCTCTGATGGCAATGCTGACAAGTTTTTGAATGACCAATGCGCTCCGAGTTCAGTGGGATGCACGAATACCCAGACTATGCTGGCAGCCCCAAAACCAAATATGCCAGCAAGGAACACACCAAGACGGTTGCACAGAAAGGCACCCGCTCTGGAATCAGGCATTACAGAGGCTAAACCAAGGCAGCTTTAAAGACTGCAGCAAGCAGAAATGCAAAGCTGGAGGTAAGCAGAAGGATTCAGCTGAGGCCCTGCTTAGACAAACTGGCTCTAAAGGATGCCTAAAGACTTTCACAGGAAAACACAGAAAAGGTTCTGTCCTAGTGACACCAGGAGAAAGCATAAGGGACCCAAATTCCTCTCCAGCAGTACCAAACACCTGATCAGGCTTTGATCACTGACATTGCTGGCAATAAAGCTGACATTTCAAGGCAAGACATGTTCCCCTAGAAGTGTGTTTCTGTCTGGAGGTCCAGTCTCTCCAGGTCAGCAAGTCATGTCTTGGCTGGGCCCAAGCAATACCTACGCCAGTGACGAGGACCCAAGCACGGGGTGGCTGCTCAGCTTCTGCAATGGCCTTGGCCAAGGCCTTTGTGGTCTCAACCCGGCTGTCGATGACTTCCCTGCGGAAGGCATCACCCCATCTGGGAAAGAGAGATATAGATTATACTTCCCACAAGGACGCCCCAGGAAACAACAGTACCAAGGGGGCCCCAGCAGACACCCAATCACAGCAGAGCTCATAGGAACCGCCCCCACACCAGAGCAGGGGCACAACGTGAGATCTTAAAACCTAAATGAAAGGAGACTTTGAGAGATGGTGGCTCTTCACTTCCCTCATAAGACTGTGTGTTTTGGACTGCCTTAGGAAAAAGGCAGCAGAGGAGCTGGACACCAAAGTTGGAGTTCCTCACAGAAGTCTAACTAGTTCTGATTTTGCATTATCAAATGTAGGCATCTGACATCCTTCTGGAAATGCAGAACTAAATTTTCTGGCCTCCAACTGTTGATCCATAAGGGAATCTATCTTTCAAAGGCCTCTCAGAACCTGACAGGCCCACAGATATGTTTTGGATACTTGAGGATGTAGATGTTAGTTAACCCAAGTGCTTCCTGGACGTGCTGTTTCCTCTCTTTTCAGATTCTCTGACAACACAGGACTGTCTTGCCTTCACCTTGCCCCGAGAGCACCGTGGGAGATAAGTTACCTGCGGAAAGGGTTGAGGACATTTTCACCAGCCAAGTTGACCACAGCATCGCACAGGGGCAGTCCAGAGCGGGACAACTCTTCCTAGGCAGGAGTAACAAAGACATCACACATCAAGCCTCCTCAGCCACCAAGCAGGGCAGGCTCCTAAGAACTCCAGTCAGTTTGTTCTTGGCATTGCCTGGTGCACAAGCATGAATGGAGAAGGTTTTGCTCCTGCTACAGCAGTGCTCATTCCAATGGCTGTGACCCATGGAGCACCTGGGAGTGTACCCACAGGAGCCAGAGCCCCACTGCAGAGTCCCTGTTTGCCATGGTAGGGCAAGTGGGCTTGTCCCTTGGCCCTGCCGCGTTCCCATCCTGTGAGCACTCCCATTCCATCCCCAGCTGACCTGACCCCATCCCATCCCCAGCTGATCCCATCCCATCCCCAGCTGACCTGCTCCCATCCCATCCCCAGCTGATTCTATCCCATCCCCAGCTGATCCCATCCCATACCCAGGTGATCCGATCCTCGCCCCCTCGCCGAGACACGTGGGTTACTCCGTGCCCGCGGCTCCGCAGCAGCTGGGTCAGGGCTCTGCCCACAAAGCCGGTCC